ATGAGTCATATAATGCAAACACTCATTGGTTAGTGAATTCATATAGTGGCATCTGGCTGCTTTTTTTTGTTTTTAAAGGTTATTTTATACTTTAAGCAGTTTTTGGAAATCACACATTTTCACTTCTACTTGAGTAAAGAGGTCAGGTTGATACTTCCACTTTTACCAGAGTGTTTTTAAACTGCAGCATCTATACTTCTACTTAAGTAACAGATGTGTGTACTTTTGACACCACTGCATAAGATTAGTTGGACACATAACTTCCAACCAGATTAAAACCAAAAACTGCAGAAAAACTTTTTTTTTTTTTTATAAAAATGACAAACGCCTTTCATTTTGCTCATTGTTGCCCAATTTGAATAAGCACTTTCACTTCCTGCTTGAGCTTATTTCATTAAAATGGCAGAAAAACAAACCATAAATTATTGTTCTCTTCTAAAAGATTTTACACACATAAACTTACAAAGGGTTTTATTATACACACCAATCATTAACAATTTCAAAGGACCTTAAATTGGAAAAAAAAAAAAGAAAAACAATTGCAAAAAATCACAGATTATATAACTAACTGTAGTTCTGCAGTCCACTGCATCATCTCATACCATGAATGTGATCTGAAAGGATCACAACTATCCGCTCTAACCCCGCCCACCAGTGAGTGTTATAGAGGGTGGAGATAACATGTAGCAGAGTCCACTTTTCTATTACCTGCTGAGGAGCTGAATCATACTGAAAAAGTTCAAAGTTTCTGCTGAGTCACAACCAGAATATATTAAGAATTTGATCCTCCAGCTATGACTCACTATATTAGTCTAAATGACCAATATAGATTCTTTGTATTTAATTCCCTCTTTCCTTTTTTTAATTCATCCCTTTGGGAAGAGGTCAGTACAATCCACAGCAATGGTTTTTATTGTTTAGCGGTTAATTATTCCCGTCAATTATTGATCATCCCTGTGTCATTATTACACTGTTACACCAGGTGTCCCATATGTTAACTTAGCATGTTGTTTAATACAGATTAGGTTTGAGATCTTCAGCCCGTAATGTTAACGGATCCTGATTGTCAGGTCTAAATAAAACAGAGAACCTCCAAACACCTTCCTGGTTTCTGTGGACTCTTCTAACCTTTAAAGGAAAAGTCTGAATGATCAATGGATCATCATCGATACCTAAAGCTAATACATTTGCAGTAATTTAATGAATTTATATTTAAGCACAACGTTTGTGCTATGTGAAGTTTCATTCTTTAAAAGAGAATAGGAGAAAACTATTGAAAAAAATATAGGTTGGAATTATTTTCTCTTATGTGAAAGACATAAATCCCTTCCCACTGAAAACAAAAGCCATGTCTTACCCCTAGCTAGCACACTGCGTGGTCTCTGTCGCCCTGCGGCTGCGTGCCTTGTGACACTATCATGATGGGTTAGCACTGATGATGTCACCAGTGAGACAGAAATCAGGAAAGTAAACAATGTAGAGCCACGTGGAAGGGAGCCAGGGTGTAGTCAGTGTTATTTATTGTTTCTCTCTATTATCTGTCTGGTTCCCTCTCACCACAGCTGCTCCACGTTCATATAAATATAAACAGGGTTGTTCTGCTTGTTAGATAAGATGCTAATGACGTACTTATGTTGCGCTTCAACGGTGTCACGTAATTTAGCAGGTCAACCCAGGTCTGGTGTTCCCACAGAATCAAAGCAAGGTGATTTTAACGCGAGTCGCTGGCTGAGTGGT